TTTTGGCACCTGAAGCGGGGCGCTCCAATGATGTCCCCATGCCCTCTCCCTTGGACCAAAACTTTGAAAGGTCTCCATCCTATAGCACAACACTCCACCATCTCTGTGCATCTAGAGCAGAAAGAATACAAATGCACCAGCAGCAGAAACAATTTTCTACACTCTGGGTCCCAGTGGCACCCCCCACACAGTCTGGCACCTGAAGTGGCCACCTCAGTTCGCCTCATGGTAAGGCCAGCCCTGGTGCCTATTATCCCTCCACCCTCTGCCCCAATTTCTCATACTTACTATCTAATCTTATTAAGGCCTTGTCTATACTTACCAGATGATCAATGCTTCTGGGGTTTGATTTTGCAGGTCTAGTAAGGACACTGAAGGTGCCCCTGTTGACCCTGGTACACCTCAGAGTCACAAGGAGTAAGAGAAGTCAACCTCCTGCTGTGCAGCTGCCTCAGAAAATTGATTTAAGGCACATCAATACCACCCAGGCTTACCAGATGCTTTCACCAAAAATCCTGAACATGGCAGTAAAAAAAACGGGATTGAGTATTAAAAAAAAAGAAAAAGAAAAAAAAAAAAAACCACAAACAAGGAGACAAAAGTTGTTGAGCAAAAAACAAAAATAAAAAGGTCGCTGCGCTTTTAAGAATACCCACACTTCTCACTTCCCCCTATCCACACCAGATGCGGCAGAGGAACAATGTCCCCGCCAGCCTTCCGTCCAAAAAAAACAGAAAATACCGGCCATTTTTATTTCCAGTATTTTCTGGGTTTTTTTTAAAACCAGACAGGGCCAGAAATAACGGACTCTCCGGGCGAAAACCGGATACCTGACAACCCTAATGCCACCTATGCAATTCTCATAACTGGAGTTGTGTATTTTAAGCTGCTTTTCTGCCCCATGTAGACGTGGCCTAAGAACTGGTGCCAAAGGTGGCAGTAAAAGAGAACTAAACCAAGCAAAGCCACAATACACCCTTTTTAAAATTATTTGAAAAAACTATCCCTACAAGGCTCACATTTTTCTTTTCTTCTCATGTATATTTTGTACATAATAATTTATGGCCTGATCCTTTTGAGTGCTGAGCAGGAAATATAAAGTGTTGAGCACACTACAATTACACTTGAAATTAATGCATTATAGATCTAGCCAATAGCCACTTTGCACATTGGGGAACTTCCTAGAAGCACCCCAATTTCTATTGAAATCCTTAGAAGTATTATTGAAGTCAGGTATCCACCTGACAAAGATGAAGTGCTGAGATAATTTTGGACATAATAGAGTATATTATGCTTATAAAATAATTCATCTGCAAACTAGGAAAAAACCAAAAGCAAAAGCCTCCACCAATAGTCAACACTTCAGTACTTCAATTTGAAAAAGAAATTACAAGAATATTATAACTCAAGAACTCGAAAAGTCTTTGTAACAGTGGTAATTTTACATGAAGAACAATTTTAAAATGGTATCACTATAGCAAAAACAATTTTAAACCTTCAAATATTTGAAGTGAGTGCTGACTTTACATAAGCCACGAGTATCATATATTTTGTTTAAGTCCCCCCAGCATTTCTGGCACCTCTAAAATGTGTCCCCCAGAACTTGTACAAATGGATGATACAATTAATGTCTTTTCCATATGACCACTTCGAAGAAGTCAGAAAAAAATGTACCAACAATAGCTCAGCTAGTTTCATTCTTGTTAGTAACATGACTGCCGATCATTTCCGACATGAAAGTTTGACAGGCTACTTAATGCCTTATATTTTACCACCTCAGGAGGTTAATACTTAGTCATTTCTATGACATTTTATACTAATCAATCAATTCTTCACCCCACCCTCTTTTGTGATTTTTTTTTAAAAAAACCTGCACATACCAAGATCTGAAAATCTATCTAAATGACCATTTTCTTTTCCTATTAAAATTTAATTGTCTTGTTGCATGGATATTTTGCCTTTAATTCTTTTCGTAATGTTTATGCTTTATTCTCTTTTTTAAAGTAAGTCTTTGATTACCAACACTAAGACTATAACACAGCCCCTTAGAGTGCTCTCAGTAGTACTAGTGCAGGTTCTGAAAATATTTCAAAGGAACACTTCTCATGGGAGGTGATCATACGAACAATACAGCTTGCTGAAATGTATTACAGATGTCTCCACTGGCTTGGCTCCTTTATAGTATTTTAGTATTTAACTCTAAGTCTCATATTCAAAGTAGCACCATGTTGTCTGACAAATGTGCGTTAAACAATAAACAGGAGAACCTTCATTTGATTGGTTTCAAATTTCTATTATTAAATATTTGTTTCCAGTTATGAAGCAAGGAAGGTGATGATACTAGATTGTTACCTTTCAAAAAAAAAAGTTCAGGTAACTTCAGATTTGATTCAGGTAACAAATTTTGCAAATTTGTATTTTCATTATTAGTTCCTAAACACTAGCAGGTCAGTTATGTGAGGCTGACTGTTCTGCACAGAAACATTTACTCCTATGTCACTCCTGACCAACTATCAGTGGCACTTGTATAGTGAATATACTGGCCCAACCAGTGCAGATTACCATCTCAATGTGAGGAATGTAGGAAACTGTGCATTGTCCCTTCATTTCCTGATGAAGGGAATAGCCAGCAATCTTCCTTTATAAATTGGGGGAGAGGGAGATTCAGTCCCTGCCCCTGCCCTTCTTAGAGGGCACCTGGGGAATGGGTGGCTCAGATATGGGGCAGCCCTAGACTGGGTGGAGGCATGCCCCCAGTCAGTCCCTTTCACCTGCCTGGTGATTCTATTTCTTTTCTGAATGGTTTAATGAGAAGTAAACCCATTCTAAGCTCATCCAATTCTCCTGGCACAATCAAACCTTTATCTTACTTAAAGTTATGATAAGAGGAAGCAGCATACCAAATGTGGTTGTCCTAACTCTTAGGCTGCGTCTAGACTGGCATGATTTTGCGCAAATAGTTTTAACGGAAAAGTTTTTCCGTTAAAAGTATTTGCGCAAGAGAGCGTCTATACTGGCATGTGCCTTTGCGCAAAAGCATCCATGCCAGTGTAGACGCTCTCTTGCGCAAGAAAGCTCTGATGGCCATTTTAGCCATCGGGCTTTCTTGTGCAAGAAATTAACTTGGCTGTCTACACTGGCCCTCTTGCACAAGAATACTTGCGCAAGAGGGCTTATCCCTGAGCGGGAACATCGGAATATTTGCGCAAGAACCACTGATTTTGTACAGTAAAAAGTCAGTGTTCTTGCGCAAATACTCGTGGCCAGTCTAGACAGGCGGCAAGATTTTGCGCAAAAGCAGCTGCTTTTGTGCAAAATCTTGCCAGTCTAGACGCAGCCTTACTATTTAGGAGGAGTTCTTGAACCTACAGATAGGTAGACAGACTCACTCACTCAAATATATAGCAGATAATACGAAGTGAATTAATGTTTTCTCCATGAATTTTCTGCTTTAAACACATTAATTCAGGGGTCCACATTTTAATGGTCGTATTTCTTTGTTTAACGTGAATATTGTTTTTCAAATCAAGTGGCTAATGTCTATATAAATACATTCCTTGTTTAGCAGTAATAATTTACTAAGCTCGACTAATAATGAAAATACAAATTTGCAAAATCATAGTAAAAAGATGAGAGAAATTCTCACCATCATTAACCCCAATATATATTCCAAATCAATGATACCTGTGAAATGTATTGGGTTTATATGAAACTTGCCTACTTGATATGGAAAGTAAAGGAAGAAATTAAAAAGAGTTGAGGATGAGGAAATTATATAGAAAAATGAGGATTCAGAATAAAGACTGGGGAAATCTTGAGATATATAAATTGTCCCTGGAAATAAATGCTGACACTGATATTTTCTGACACTAAGAATACAACAAACATTTTAAAAGTAACAAACATGTAAAAGTTATTTCACAGGGAAACAATGAATGTTAGCTCTTGGATGGTTTAGATGCAAAGAATCCTGCATTTTGGCAGAAATTAGACTAGATGACCCCTGGGTCCCTTCTAACCCTATGATTCATAGTTTGGATGACAAGTGTAAAACAAAATTCACATCAAATAGGATCTTTAATAACAAAACTGAAAACAGTTCACGTGTGATCTATTTTGCTACTGTCCTATTTTGAGGGTAAAACTACAAGTGGGCCAACACAGATCTGTCCTTAAGCAAATTCAGTATCTTTAAACAACCAGAAATCTTTAAAATACAGGATTTCTACAATCCTCTGGCCTAGAGATGTTTTGGGTTTAAATTTTCTTTCACCTCTTGTTTTCCCTTTCCTAAATTCTGTGGTTCTTTCCTGCACAATTCTGTAATCTTCTGATAGCTGCATTTATGGCCTTGGGCAAGTGATTAGCCTCTTTAAAATTCAGAGTCAATGTCATGCCGTGAAATGACTAACTGAAGCACTAGGAAATATGGCCATGGCCACTGGCCAAGAACTCTTCAGGAGAATGGGCCCAATTCCGAGGAGGAGTCTGAGAAACCTTATCTCTTCCCCCTTTCCCTTGTCACTTATATCAATGTACATTCACATTCACTTTGCCTAAATGAGTCTAAGTTGGTGTAGCTAACATGATGAGGGACCTGGAAGAAGGTGCAGGGCACACTAGTTTATGCAGTTTAACCTTTGAATCTGCGTGACTGAGTGCATCATCTCTATCTGGTCTATATAGCTGAGTAGCAAGAGTGCCAAGTTCATAATCAAAGCTGTGCTTCAATTAACTATGTATTGTTCCTGGATTACTCTACTAGTACAGCTTATTCTTATTTGTGTTACTTATTTAAATAAGACTGTAATATATAACAATACATAGGGTAAATAACTCTAAAATGAGAACCAATGCAGCAAATCACGGAATAATTCAAGCCTGAGTATCTGTAGATGCAGGAGGTGGTGGAGATAGATTTTCTATCAAGAACAATTTACTTACTTTCATTTTGCACGTTTACACTGCTGTCCATTAGTAATATTTTAAAGCAACCTTACCTGCAGATTTGCACATGCTGGTAGATCATTGTGGGTGGGTATTTCATTGTTGGTGCTCTCTGAGCCCATGTTTTTAAATTTGGAAGCTGTCGTAGTTGTTGCTGTGGTGGTTTGTACTGCTAGGATTGGCTGCCATACAGTCACATCCGTACCATTGCCAAAGGCCTGAATTGCATTTTCTGTAGAAAACAAGTATAGAGAATATTCTGCATATAAACAAATGCCACAAAACAGCAGAACTGTCATTAAAAAAAAACACCCCTACAACCTGATGCCATAGAACAGAAATGTCTCCAAAAATGCTCTCCTATGCAAAATCTTGCCCTTTTTTTTCCAAACTTAAGTTTTTATATTGAAAAGCTAGTTTCAATTTATTCTGAATACATGCCAGAAATGTGAATTTTGTGGTCACAGGTTTATCTTGCTGCTAATTTCTCCCTGAAATATTTTCAGCCATTCTTAAGGAAGCTAAAACCTCTAAATCTTCAGTAAGCAAATTAGCATACCATTACAAGGCTTCAAAAACGTAACTGGTGAGAATTAAGGTACAGTATCAATGTTGTGTACATTCTGATAAATTACGTTATGCAACATGCCAAACAAAGATCAGGTGGTATACTGATTTATTTCCAGAGCTTGCTTTCAAAACCAATGTGCTTGTAAACATGGGACTATTTAACTATGATGATCTTTCCCTTCTAGTTTCCAAACAAAGTCTACAAAACTGAGAGAAGTGTGCTTACGCTGAAAGTTAAGAATATAAAGGTTAAAAGGCTTATCAGTTTCATGGGATTAAAGAATGTGTGTATGGCAAGGGTAAATTGCTTGTGTTTCTTTATACAAATGAATAAAAAACAGTGTTCAATCAGGTCTTTTGGGATTCAGCGTGGATTTAGGGTTTTCTTATTCCACATTCACAGTATAAGAATTCAAAGAATTTCACATGGGACTTAAATGTGGAAGTTATTAACAGTACTCTTCACTGGCATCCATCTCACTATAAAATAATTTACATTTATCCTTCATTTGAGAAAGATGCACTTATTCTAGCATTTCATCAAAGAGTCCCAACAACAGAGACTGATTCATAAAAGAGGCAATATAATTGGTTGGATTGATAGGAACAAAGTGAGACCAATATGAAAGGATTTTCCTGTCCAGCATTCTTAAACATTCTTATTCCACACAATAAAAACAAGTAGTCCTGTGTAGGGATGTAAGTGTCTAGTCAACTAGTCCCTCGACTAGTCGCCTCTCCCCTCCTTGCTGCCTCTATCAGCCGGTTCTCCCTAGCACCATCTCTGCGGAAGGCATGGGGTAGTGTGGGACCTGATTCCCAGCTTGTGCCCAGTCCTCTCCGCTGCACTTCTGATTTTTAAATGTATTAAGAGCCTGCAGGCTCTTAAAACATTTTAAAATCAGAAGCTCAGCTGGGGGATGGGGTGGTCAAGGAACTCAGTGAAAGCCAGGGCAGCTGATTCCTGGCTTGCACTGGTTCCCCTGCTGCATTCCAGCCTTTTTGCATTTAAGCATTTTACTTTATACCGGTAGGCTCTTAATACATTTAAAAGGCTGAAGCACAGCGGGGATAGCTCTGGGGGCCAGGAGCTACCCCTGCTGCGTCTCCCCCGCTTATTGACTAATTGCCGGAAAATCCATCGACTAGTCAGCTAGTTGATCAAACAAAATGTAACATCCCTTCTCCTGTGGCACCTTATAGTGTCATCAGCTTTCATGGGGAAAACCCACTTCTCCAGATGAGCTGGAGATTCTTCCAGTCAAGTTCATCTAGCAAAGTGGTTTTGCCCACAAAAATTGATGATGATATTAATCTTTAACATGCCCTCAGATTTTTCCACACAATAGGTATCACAGAACACCAAATAATTACCTAAATTAAATAGTGGGCCAGATCCTTGTTTTGAGTGCTTTAAACAAAGCTACATGAGAAAATGGAGGTACGCTCGAATTATTAAAATAAAATTGCTCATAACTTTCCTACTCTCTATATTTCCTCTTCTGTGTATCTATATTGATGTAAAAACATGTGAATTTTCCAGCTATAACACAGCAGATGAACATAATAAAAGTAAGATGCCACGACAGATGCTTAACTGCTCTAGTGGATGGCCGACTGTTTCAATAATCTGTATTAACTCATTTTTGCTGCCTTTTCCCCTTGCTTGCCAGTTCTTCCCCTGTACTCCACCATCAAGTAGGTATGCTCAGATCCTTCAAAACACCTATACCTGGGTTAGCTGAATTCCACTGAGCTTGGTAGGACTACCCAGTACACAAGGGAATACAGGACCAAAGTCATAGTGTGTAGAACATCTGAAACTGTGTGTAATGTAAGAATATTTAAATTGTTAACAAAAATAAAGCTTAATAAAGGACTTCAGGATTTGAAATGGGCCAACCGCTTTTTTAAAAAAGATGCTGAAGTTGGGAATTAAAAATATATGATCATTTAGGCCTTAGACATTTAGACTTCTGATTTTTAAAAGACTGGCCATTGTCATAGTTACTATGAAAGGCCCAGATTCTGCCAACATAAATGCACTTTACAAATGAGAGTATTTCCTCTGACTTCAGCAGCAGGATTACTTACATTCACATAATTATGAATTTGTATTTGAAGGATCAGGATCTACGTATAATTCTTCATTTTCCAATAGCAGAATACATGTAAATAATGCTATACTTAAAAATTAAAACTGATTTTTAGTCTCTGTTCTGAAACAAATGCATTCCCTCCATGTTGAAAGGCTATTTATGAAAAGTCACAAGTACATTTTTCTCCTCCCTCTGTCAATTGCTGCTAAACCAGCATCACCTTTATTTTTTTCTTTTTTCATAAAGACGTGTCTGCCAGGGTAAGTGCAATATTTCTCACAGTGACCTCTAATGTCACTGCTTTATTGTCATTAAACTTTTTATTCCGGCAGGAACAACAAGATTCGTGTATACTTAAAATCTGGAAGGAATTCATAACACGATAGTAATGAGTAATGAACGCACTTACAAATTGGCAAAATATAAAATGCTATAGACAGCAATGTGAGAAAGGAAGTTTGGAAAAGGTATGCTATAGTCACCCTTCCTCATTTAGAATCCCACTCAGAACTGATTGCTTAAATAATGATGTCCATTAACCTCTCCTGCCTAGCAATCCTTCCAAGACTTTTTACAAATAGGGCTCAACCCGGTCATCTTTCTGCACACAGAACTCGATGCTTACTGGAAGTATTACATACTGAGAAACAGCTGGGTAAAGGCAAAAGATAAAAATAGTCTTAGGGCATCCAACATCTTCAGTGGTGTATGGAGCACTAACACTGCATGCCCATGGGTATAAATAACAGTGTATGCATTGAGGCACTGCTTAGGTGAGTAGAGTAGAATACCTGGGCATCTCTCAGTGCTAGGGTATATATCCTACATGGTTCTCCACATGTTCAGGCAGAGCTTCTCCCATTCACATGGCTATTTTTAGTCATATGTCCTGCTCCCATCCCCACCACAATGGAAGAAGCAAGCATTGGTGAAAGATTTTGGCAGGGGGAAGAATGGGAGAACGGCTCTGGCATTGAGGAGCTGTTGGAGTCCTTCACTGAAGCACGTAGCTATTCATACCCTACAAACTAATGCAAGATCTTAGAGACACAATCTTAGAGAAGTGCAGGGTCTTTGATTCTACTTACAGAATTTCATTAGAATGCCCTAGAGAATGCCCTTCCTCAGAACCACTGCTAAAGTAAGTCTTATTTTTTTTTAAAGTGTATGTGTGTTATATGATTCCTCTGATTATATGATGTTGTATTGCCCTACATCAACAATAAACTCTCTCTGAAATTCATGATCAACTTGTACAGCTGATGGCAAAAAGAAGACTGAGAAAGGAAATGATCAAAATTGACTTCACAGAGTCACTCAAGTTTAAAATAGCCCCTTGACTGAAAGTAATTTGGATAATAAAACCATGACGTAACTATCTCAATGAAATTGCTATATCAAGATCTCTTTGTAAAAAAGATCATCTGAGTGTTGTAACCAAACTTCAAGCATCGGAGTTTATTAATAATAAAATCCCAATTCATATATATCTATATAAAATCCTTCATAGCCTATTTCTCACATTATATACAACCCAATTAGATCTTACAATTTTCTGGTACAGACCTTCCCTGATGGCAACTCAAAATATAATCTGTGAGTAGAAAATGTTTTCCACATTAAGTACCATTATTATTTGGAATTATCACCCACAGCTTCTCATGTTTACAAGCGTGACTGTGAACAACACATCAGATAGATTTGCTCAGATGCTTTTAGTTCTAGTTTACTATGCCAGTACATATCCAATCTGTTGAAAATGTGCAGAAATGGCCTTACAGTACAACACTGTATTTAAAAACTAAGCAAAACAGCCCAATGCAGCACATGTTCCAACATGAACAAATACACATTCAAAAACATTTTATAATATTGTACTCACTAAGGCATGTATTGTCCTGGAAGAAATTCAGAAGTTTCAGGCATTCTTCTATGTCATTACCACTGTTGCTGCAGTCGCACCACGGGGCAACACTAAGACTGTTGGAGTCTATGTAGTTTGGTGTCATAGCTGTGCCTAGTAACAAAGAGCAACACACTATACCATCAGTAATCTTTGTAATGACCCATCCCTTATACATAGTACCCAAAGAAGTGACAAACAATATATGGGATAGACATAAAGAGGTCTGGATTAAGGCATAAACAATATAGGTCTCTCAGAGTCATGCGCTGAGTGCAGAGTCTTAGCTTTCACATGTTCTAAACCACCACCACAACAAAAAGGGTGCTAGCTCTGATGGTTGTGAAAACTTGACTGTAGCATAACTGATGCTGAGATGTTCACGAGTTTGCAGAAAGCCTGAAATGATAGCTATGAGATATCTGAACTGCCCAAGACATCTTAATGGGGTGCTAACTCCAAGGCTCCACTGTTATGAAAGGTTCTGCCCATAGTGTGACAGGAGAGGAACACAGAAATGATCAAATTAATCTTCATAACTAGCTAGAATTTATTTTTCTGATAGTTTGCTCTTATTGTCAATGCCATTAATAACGTGGACAATGCAGTGAACTATATGTTTATAAAATGTAGAAGATGATACAAGAAGGGCAGGGGTAGGTAGTACTTCTGGAAGACAGGATTAGATTTCAAAATGATGGCTCTTGACCAATTGATCAATTTGTCTGAAATCAACAAGAGGAAATTCAATAAAAAGTCAATTGCAAAGTTCTGTACTTTGGAAGGATAAATCAAACAGAACTATAAAATAGGGAATAATGGACTCAGTAATAGTACTATTGAAAAGAATTTGGTGTGAAGTAGACCCCACACTGAATTGAACACCAGTCAACAACATGATACAATTTTGAAACAATTTAATATAATTCTGCGATGTAGTAACAGGAATGCTACATACACATCACAGGAGCTAACTGTCCCACTCAATTTGCTACTGCTGGGGCCTCAGCTGGAAAATTATGTCAAGAGCTCCCTGCCATATTCTAAGAAAGATATGCACAAGTAGAAAAGAGTCCAGAGGAGAGCATCAAAAACAATAAAAGGTTTAAGAAACCAGACCTGGGAGCAAAGATTAAACTGGGCATGTTTGGGCTTGAGAAAATGAAGACTGAGCAGGGAACCGGATAACACCTCAAAAAATATGTTAAGGGCTGTTACAGAGAGGACAGCGATCAATTATTCTCCATGTCCACTCAAGGTGGGACAAGACATTATCAGCTACATTGTAGCAAGGCAGATTTAGGTTAGCTAATAGGAAAAACTTTCTAACCATAAGAATAGCTAAGCACTGGTCTAGGCTTCCAAAGAATCTTGTGGAATCCCCACAATCTGAGTTTTTTAAAAACAGGTTGGACAAAACACCTTTCATGGGTGGCCTACCTATATTTGGTCCTGTCTCAGTGCCAGGGGCTGGACTATATGACTTCTTAAGGACCAAGACAGCCCTAAATTCCTATGTTTTTATGATTGTATTCTTTAACATTGATGCATTTGTGCTTCTATTCTATTTTTTTTTAACACAAATTATTGGATAAATATTCTGGTATTTACATTTCAGGCTCAGGCAAATCAACAACCAAACCAAAATAAATAATGAATTCTACATGCTAAAGGGAACACTGAGAATGATCTAGATTATGCAGGCATTATTCACTGGTGAGTAGTCTTACTGAAGTTATTCCTAGGCTAAGTAAGCATTTACAAATTTAAATAAGGGTTGATCAATCATATCCTTAATTATTTTTAAATGGCCTATTCTTCAGATATTTTTCAAAGTTGATATTCCCCTTCCACTTTTAGTTAAGCAGGTGTAAATCTGAAATAACTCCATTGATTCCAACCCAAAAAGTCACTGGAATTACTCCAGAATTGCTCTTATGAGGACAACCGTTGACTGATTATGTATTTAGGCACTTACATCCATCACCTGATACCTGGAGGTTTAGGGTAAATTTCTCTCTGCTCCACAGTAGAGCAAAAGTATTGTCAATACTAGTTGGGCATGTGGAATAGATGAAGGCTACCTATTAGGCGATGCCTACACTACAAGGTTTTTGTGCAAAAACAGCTGTTTTTGAGTAAAACCCAGCAGAACGCTCATACCTCAAGCGCGTTCTTGCGCAAATAAATTGACAGAACAGAGGACTTTTGCCAGTAGGAGTTATTCCTCTCCCCACAAGGAATAACTCCTTTTTGCGCTACAGCTCTTCTGCAGAAGGCAGATGTGGATGCTCCGGAGGGGTTTTTGTGCATGAAACCCCTATCACAGGTGCTTTGAGGCCATTCAGAGCTTTCTTTTCCTTTGATGTCTGGATGCACTTTTGTGCAAGTAGTTTTTGCGCAAGAACTCTTCCGCAAAAAGCTTCTTGCACAAAAACCCTGCAGTGCAGACAAAGCCTTAGAGACTCATACTACAAACTGAAGGGGTAAATTTGGACCATAGAGCTTAAAATTAATAATTTTCACAACAAAAGGGGGATGACAAATACCACAGCAATATATCACAGTAGAAAATGCAGCACTATGTGAGCACCTTTCAGTCAGCCAGGCATTGATAGGAATGTTTACCTTGTTTCATAAATGAAATGGAAGTCAAAGAAAAACAAACATTGGGTATGTCTACAGAGCAGCATTATTTCAGAATAACGTTAGTTATTCTGAAATAACAAAGAGCGTATCAACACAGCAAGCCATTATTGTAAAATAATGGCAAGCTGGTGGACGTCTTACTCTGACTCCTGTAACCCTCATTTCACAAGGAGTAAGGGAAGTTGAAGGAAGAGTATTCTTTCTTGAACTTCCTGCTGTGTAGACAGAGCCAAAAGCTGAGTTAAGCTATTTCAACTATACAATTGATGTAACTGAAGTTGCATAGTTTAATTCGACTTTTTCCGTGTGTGTAGATATGGCCATTGTGAGCTGCCTTGAAGAATTGCCAAAAATTATGCAGAACAGAATTTGGCAGCAAATGGCAACTCTCCAAAATCATTCTTTTATTTTGTGATCTTTTGAAGTAGAATGCAAATCACTTCCTTTATCTAGTCTACACTTTTAACTAAAAGTTTTAATATAGATATAAGATCAACATATACGTAAGTAGAACAGTTCAAATTGTTTATGAAATGCAAATGAGAAATATAGCAAAATCAGCAAATGTCCCCTGTGCTATTAATGAAAAGGTAACGGCAGATAAATAAGAATACGAATGGTATTAAATTAAAATAAACCAAATGAAAAATATCTACCCATTATTCATTAGATGATTTCAGCTCACTGTTTCAACTATGTGATACTTATGATCTGCAAAACAAGAAAGTAATGTAGAAAGAAAATAAAACACTACTGTGTTTTAATGGAAAGAAAATAGACAAATATCAGAAAAACTGATAAAAATACTTGATAAAGAATTAGAAAATAAAAGGGTTTGAAGGCAGTGGACAGGGCCACTAAGGTAAGACTTAAGAAGAAGATGTAATAAAATCATAAAGGTAGGTCAAAGCTGAGGGTGCAAGTGTAAAAAGTGTTAAGCTGTGATCAAGTTCAGTGAATACAGGACAATCAGGATAAAGGATATATACATACTGCATACATTAATGCATATATTAACTATATGCACAGGAAAAAGCAGCAGATGAAAGAGCAGCTAGCACAAAGTAAATCTGCCATTTAAACCTGGGGGAAGAAGTGAACTCAAACAGATTATACGTTTGGTTTCCTGGGCTGGATTTCTTTATTCCTGCATGTGGAGTGTTTTGTTTGTGGTAAATGGGACTCTTGAAAATTCTGTGACATTAACAGTACAGAGGGCTGTACAGAACAAGGAAGAAAACTGGCAGCTTGTACCCTCCAGGAGAAGAAAGCCAACTCAGGTATCCCCAATTTCAGTAGAGGTAAGTACTTTCAGGCTCTCTGAACAGGCACTACTGTGGAGAATGCTTTGGCAGAGACCTGTCAGGGAAGAGATCAGAAGGAGACCCCATCGACCGGATGCGTAGTCCTAGGGATGGGGATTCTATAACCACCACCCCCAAGAGAAGAATACGGGTGGTGTGGTCAGGGACTGAGTCATCTATCTGCCATCCAGACCTGGAATCTCAAGAAGTGTGCTGCTTACCAGGAGCTAGAATTCAGGATGTGACAGAGTCTTCCAAAACTGATCAAACATTTGGATCTCTACTCCTTCCTGCTTCTCCAGGTAAGAACGAACCATATGGCCAAGAATGACCTTGAGCAGGTCACTGCCGATTACATAGTGCTGGTAAGAAAGATCAAGGAATTTGAAGTGCAAGTGGTGCTCTCGTCCGTCTCCCCTGTTGATGGAAAAGGTCCAGGTAGGCATCATCAAATTGTGGAAGTAAATATGTAGTTGCGCAGGTGGTGTCTGAGAGAGGGCTTTGGTTTCTTCAACCATGGAACTCTGTTTTGGGCACAAGGATTGCTAGGAAGAGATGGGATCCACCTAACCAAGAGAGGAAAGAGTATCTTTGCGGGCAGGCTTGCAAACCTAGTGAAGAAGGTTTTAAACTAGGTTCACTGGGGGATGGTGACCAAAGCCCTGAGGTAAGTGAGGAAGTCAGATACGGGGAAGAAACACAAGTAGGAAGGAGCAACAAAGGAGGACCCCTGATTCGAATGGAGAAGGTAGGGTAATCAACTAATTATCTAAGATGTTTGTACAGGAATGCAAGAAGCCTGCGAAACAAACAGGAAGAATTCGAAGCCAAAGAACTATGATTTGATTGGAATAACAGACACATGGTGGGATGACTCACATGACTGGAGCACTCTCATGGAAGGGTATAAACTGTTCAGGAAAAACAGGTAGGGGAGAAAAGGAGGAAGAGTTGCACTATATGCAAGAGCAGTACGATTGCTCAGAGCTCCAGCATATAGAGGGGAAAAAAGCCTGTTGAGAGTCTTTGGGTTAAGTTTAGAGGCGGGAGCAATAGGGGTGATGTTTTGGTTGGTGTCTGCTAGGGTACGTCTAGACTACAGGCTTCTGTCGACAGAAGTTTTGTCGACAGATACTGTTGACAAAACTTCTGTGGACAAAG